AATTCCCCCCCCCCCCCAATTTAAAGGAGAGTGTTCAGTTATTTACATTGGATCCCCACTGTACCTTCTATAAAGTGAAGGATTCACATTCAAATAAAACTTTGGCTCTGGCCATGGGGCCAGAGATTGGGCAGTCAGTATGATTCATAGGGTCCCTTTCAGCCCTGCAGTTCTAAGATGAAGATAGTGATGATAGATTTCAGCTGGCAAGAAGGCCATCTTTCCATTCTAGAAGTATTCTACAGCTCTTCAGTGTGTTTATTCTGCCAGAATGAAGGGAAGGAACTGGCTGGAGAAAGTCTGCCTCCTTCCGTGATTAGGTGTTGGAAGGAGACCCTTAGCAGACTTCTGTTCACATCAGTAATGGCAATCATGGGATCCAAGCCACTTACTATGTGATGAAGCTCAGTGAACAAGAGGACATAATGTGTATCATAGACAATATGCCACTCCTAATTTTATTACTTAGATGGATTTCACAAACATCCACTTGTACTGCCTGTTCATGCTTTCTCTAAGCGAAGAATACAAGGCAACTGAATATTGAGACAAATGCTATTTACCTTTTGTGTCTTAGACCCCGAGGACAGATTAGACTTTTAGTCATGAACAGCATGGAAATTATTCCCAAATAAAAATAAGGAAGTAGACTGTATCCACAAATGCTCATGGTGAAATAAATGTGTTGATCTCTAAAGGCATCACAGTACTTTTGTGCTCTTGCTGAAAACCTCTGAATGGGAATGGCTTCTGGAAACTATATACATTTTGGTTGCTGTGGGTTTTTTGGGTTCTTTGGCCATGTTCTGAAGGTTGTTCTTCCTAATGTTTCACCAGTCTCTGTGGCCGGCATCTTCAGAGGACAGCACTCTGTGGTGACCAGACAGCCCAAAAAAACCCACAACAACCATTATATCCTGGCCGTGAAAGCCTTTGCAAATACTGTACATTAATACGTTTTTCTTAGCTTATAACAGTCTGTGCTAATATCTTTTATCTTGCAGGGTTATTACAAAGTCCTGGGCAAGGGGAAGCTTCCCAAACAGCCTGTAATTGTGAAAGCAAAATTTTTCAGTAGAAAAGCCGAAGAGAAAATCAAAGAAGTTGGTGGGGCTTGTGTGCTAGTGGCATAAATCATTTTTAAATGTATTCAGACCTAAATAAATAGGCATGAATAAAGTTTGTGTGTTTCTTTTGACAAGCTGACATTGAAAGCAATTTTTCTTGCCAGTTCTAACACAGTACTAATTTCATTTTGCCCGCAAATCCATCTGATGTACTAGTCTCGTGGATTGAAGCTGGAAAAGAATACACAATTCATTTCATTTTTTAAAAGGCAAGGCATATTCATTTCATTTTTTAAAAGGCATGTCTTCCTGTAAAGATGTGGTTTTTCTCTAAGCATAAGTAGTTCTGTACAAAAGCATTTAGTTTATCTGTACTTGCTGGAAGCTTAACTGGGTGTCAATTATGTCACTAATTATTGAATTAATTGGGGTTCTTGACTTCAGAGAATCATAAAAGTAGAGCTGGAAAGGGTTTATATGATAATTTTTGAGTCCAAACTCCCTGCTCAATGCAAAGATCCAAGTTAAACTGTCTAACTAACATACGTTAAACTTTTCTAAAGTGTATGTTTATCTTGAATACTTTTCTCAGCCTCTCACGTATCTATGTACGTATCTAAATAAGAACACAAACAGTAGCAAAAAAGCATATTTTCCACCTGATAGCTGGCAGAAAGATCTTGTGAAGTTGAAAGATGCTGCAGGGAGGCAGTTACATCTACAGGGATGGATATGACAGGGGCAAGCCCTTCATCCCAGTCTGAAATCAGTGTGAGGGCTCAGGGGCTACAAATTACATTCCACAGCAGGTCTTCCTTGTTTAACTGAATATTTCCATTAGCAGTGTATGACTTGCCTAGCTCTGAGGTTATAATAATCAGGTCTATGTAGATACAGCAACACTTTATCTTTAAATAAAATATGCTTAAGCTTCAGAATGTGTTCCCCTGTAGCTTCTGTGGGCATCCTATTTAGCATCTTGGGAATTTCCTTCAGTGCTACAGCCCATGCTATGTTCTTGAAATGCAGAAGTTACTGTACTCTTAGAGTTGCAGAGTCTCATAATTTTACAAATTAATGTCCAAATAGTTAAAATTTCACTTCAGAACACTTTAGGAATTCCAGAACAAAAGGCCATGCATGAAATGCAATGAGAATTGAATTTCTCACGTACTTTATGTATACTATACCAAAATGACAGAAGAATACTATTTAATCAGCTTAAAAACCCCAGTG